TCTTGCCGTTCCAAACCTGAATGACTTTGTTTCTTATGTGGAACACAAAATGGATAGTTTGAATAATGTACTAGTCACTATTTTTACTTATAAGATGGATAATAACTGATCAAAGGAAACCAAAGGCCTACTTTGCAATGCTGATAAGCTCTCTTTAAGCAAAAGAACTATGTTCATTTTTGCTTTTGCATGAGAAAACTGTACGATGGATAAACATCTGTTTTAGTTAGATCATGTGTTCGGACCACAGAGGATGTGGTAAAGGTTTCAGACACTGATAATTAACCACCACAGAATGTGGCAGGAAACGTTAAAGCACTTCCCTGATGGCAGCAAAGAAATTTTGAGTCGTGAGAGATCCGAAGTCCATACACAAGATCTTCTGGATCTTGGAATTTCTGCCTATCGCTTAAAATATATTTATGTATTCTGTTATAAGGGAGAAAACAAACTTTGCAGTGTCTTCATGCTCAGTTATGTGGTCCCTGTCCATAGTATTTATCTTCACAGGTAAGCACAAATTCATTATTTTAATCAAGCATATTAAGCATTTTAATTTACTTTTTGAATATAATATGCACTCATTCGGTTGACAGTATATGGAACCCATGGTTGTGTGATAACCAGTCCAGACCAGAAGGCTAATGCTGGGACAGATGTCCATTTGTCGTGTAATTTCTGGCAATGTCCTGGACCTCTGGACGTCATGTCTCTTAGTGTAGAGTGGGAATTCAAGGTAGGCTTTTTTTTCTTTTTTAGGAATACAGACACACACACAAATATGCATTACACTTTTTATATAAGCATGTGTTATTATTATTATTATTATTATTAAACTTCTGTTACTTTTTGTATTTTTTAAACACAGGATATTTCCTCTGAGCCAAAAATAATCCTCTACTACATCAGAAATCGAACTGTACCACTTCCTGGTGTGTTTTTTCAGGGAGATGTCGAATTAGGGAGTTTTGTCTCCCATCTCCCATCTGTGACCCATGAGAACAATGGAACTTATTTATGTAGATTACGTCTCAATGGCAAAAGAACCAAAAACCAAACGCACCTTATTGTGCAATCAGGTGGAAAACCCTTCTCTTTTTTTCCCACAGTTTATTTATTGCTTATTTGTCAGTCATTACTCATTGTGGGTCAGTTGTTCATGCAACAAAAAGTTACTGGACAAAGGGATAATATTATTCAGCCATTAAATTGACTCATTACATTAATCCCAAGTGACAGTAAAGACATTTATAATGTTACAAAATATTTTAAGTGTCGTCAGTTTTTTTTTATGATGAATGAAATTCATCTTCAATTTCAATGCAATTATTGTTTATCAAACCAGTGCTGTCACTGGTCAAACTGGAGCCTTATGCAGAATTGTGTGAGGTTTCTTCATTTTTGGAGGAAATGGAAAGACCTGTTAGTGTTTAAGTGGTTAATGTTTAGTTATGCTGGACATTTAAAAGAGTTAAAGGGATAGTTCACCCAAAAATGAAAATTATGTCATTAATTACTCACCCTCATGTCATTTCAAACCCGTAAGACCTTCGTTCATCTTCGGACACAGAACAGCATACGCTGTTTACGTCCAGCAGATATTCTCCAAAATGGCACTAAGGTGATGCGGAGGAGACGAATTGTTGAATAAAGTCGGTTTTTTTTTTCTTTTGAGCACAAAAAGTATTCTCGTAGTTTCGTATAACTGCGTATGAACCACTGATGTCACATGGATTATTTTACCGATCTCCTTGCTACGTTTCTGGACTTGGGAACATTTCAGTTGCGTTGCTGTCTATGCAGGGTCAGACAGCTCTCAGATTCCATCAAAAATATCTTAATTTGTGTTCCGAAGATGAACGAAGGACTTACAGGTTTGAAACGACATGAGGGTGAGTAATTAATGACAGAATTTTCATTTTTGGGTGAACTAACCCTTTAAGCAACTGTATGTGTGCATGTTCTGTGATGGGGACAGGACTAATGACCATACGTAGACTGTGTAAATGAGTGGTTATGAACGAATCAATGAAACGCATTTGTCTGTTTCACTCCGTCTTGAATCGCGCTCGTGGAAAGCACTTGAGAAACAGCGTCTCTTCCACGGCTCGGTACGCTTTCAACTATTTTGCGTATAGGGAGGATCGGCTCTGGATTAGATTGTATAAGAGCTCCAAACTCAGTTCTCCTCTTTGTTTTCTTCAGCACTGACCAGGAGAAACAGCCCAAGTGCAAATCATCTGCAGAAACATCCTCCCTGGCGGCTGCCCCTGGCATCAGTGGCTGGGTTTGTGTTACTAATTGGTACAGTGTTTTTGGGGAGGAAAGCGTACAGATCAACCCAGAGAGAAAACAACTCAAAGTAAGTCATTGTCAGCTCACAGAGAGAAATAGCAGCTTGTAAGGCATTTTTTTCTGGCTTCATGTTGTGCTTTATTTTCTACTAGGCAAAATATGGAAGAGGTTAAAACCGGCACTGACACTGAAGACAAGGGAATGACATACATGGTAACACATCTATGCAACTGCCTTCTGCAAGTCTGCTCTCATTTCCTCTCTTTGCTTTCTGTAGTGGTAAAGTCAATTATTAAAGCAAATTGTCTTTGATTTACGTTTATTCTGTTTAAATTAAGAAAACAGTGGTTGAGGTTTGATTCTTAAACATATAAATGGGTTGTTGCCTGGGTCTTGAAGATGACTTGCATCGTGTCTCAGGTGGGATTCAGCATGCCTGACCTTGCAGACGTGAACAGTCCTCCCAGCAGTCCAGATAACATCTATGTTACCATGGTAAGATGGACATGAAAGCAAAATATGAAATAAACAAAATAATGTGAATATTTTAGTTATGAAATGTTCTGTTAGTGTTAAGTGAGAGTAGATTTTGCATGAGTTTAAACTTCCCTCGTGAAAAAAGAAGTGTGCATAATTGTACTGATGCTTGTTGTGCACTTTAAATCTTAAAACTATATTTTTAGAAACCTGTTTTGCAAATAATAAAATTTGAATGAACTAAAAGTCCACTTAAGTGTAGTAAATGAAAGACACTTTCATATGTTTCTTAACACACTTCAGTACTTTTTTTTTTTAAGTGATTATTTTCAAATTAAACATTTGTTTGAAGTACATTTTAAATCGTTTTAATAACTATTTTCATGCTTTAAATACGTACACTTATTTTGATGTGCAGACTAGCATGTAAAGTATGCAAAGTTATAATTTCAATATTCAATATTACAAAGTTAGTATGAAAGATACTAAATTGCAGCTTCACCATTACAAATGTGCAAAAACAAATATATTTAAAAAGAGGTGGCATACACGTTTCAACAGAAATTGCATTTAAGTATTTAATGCTTAAATGTGCATTCAATATATATCTAATGGACAGCAGAATTATGAAATTACATAAAGATGTAAAGTTCTATAACTTAAATGATTTTAGCAAATGGCTGCAATATAACAAAGAGTGAAAAATTGAAGGGGGTCTGAATACTTTCCGTACCCACTGTACATGGTAACACATCTATGCAACTGCCTTCTGCAAGTCTGCTCTCATTTCCTCTCTTTGCTTTCTGTAGTGGTAAAGTCAATTATTAAAGCAAATTGTCTTTGATTTACGTTTATTCTGTTTAAATTAAGAAAACAGTGGTTGAGGTTTGATTCTTAAACATATAAATGGGTTGTTGCCTGGGTCTTGAAGATGACTTGCGTCGTGTCTCAGGTGGGATTCAGCATGCCTGACCTTGCAGACGTGAACAGTCCTCCCAGCAGTCCAGATAACATCTATGTTACCATGGTAAGATGGACATGAAAGCAAAATATGAAATAAACAAAATAATGTGAATATTTTAGTTATGAAATGTTCTGTTAGTGTTAAGTGAGAGTAGATTTTGCATGAGTTTAAACTTCCCTCGTGAAAAAAGAAGTGTGCATAATTGTATTGATGCTTGTTGTGCACTTTAAATCTTAAAACGATATTTTTAGAAACCTGTTTTGTAAATAATAAAATTTTAATGAACTAAAAGTCCACTTAAGTGTAGTAAATGAAAGACACTTTCATATGTTTCTTAACACACTTCAGTACTTTTTTTTTAAGTGATTATTTTCAAATTAAACATTTAAGTTTGAAGTACATTTTAAATCGTTTTAATAACTATTTTCATGCTTTAAATACGTACACTTATTTTGATGTGCAGACTAGCATGTAAAGTATGCAAAGTTATAATTTCAATATTCAATATTACAAAGTTAGTATGAAAGATACTAAATTGCAGCTTCACCATTACAAATGTGCAAAAACAAATATATTTAAAAAGAGGTGGCATACACGTTTCAACAGAAATTGCATTTAAGTATTTAATGCTTAAATGTGCATTCAATATATATCTAATGGACAGCAGAATTATGAAATTACATAAAGATGTAAAGTTCTAAAACTCTCTTTAAACCCTCTATATTTATACAAATATTAATGCACCATTACATTAAATATATTTTTCATAGACTTAAGCGTATATGCAAATTGCAGTTGATTTAATATCTCAAAATAAGGACAGACTTCATACTGTAAAATGTCATGTGGACATTAATTATACACCTTAATTCTATTCTTAATGACGTACATCTTCATTATTGTAAGTGAAATATGTATATGCATACATCCATTCGTGTGTAAACTGATTATTAACCATTTATCACAGTAAAAAAAATGTTCACAAGATGTCAAATGGCTTTTGTTTGTGTGTGTTTGTGTGTATTCTTAATCGCTGGAAGCAGCATAGTTTCCCATTCGCACCAGACGCTCCTGTCACAGCTGGACGCGACAGATGTCTTCCCTCTGATTGGCAGCCGAAGGATGAGGAACCCGTATATGTCCGCTGCCACCAAGATTTATCAATCAGATCATGCCGCTTAAAAGATGAGACACAGAATAACTGATCATTTAAATTGGTGAGAGTAATTGTCAGATATGCATTTTATAGTCCCCAAACAGACTGTTTTGTGAACTCTTTTTCAATACTCACCAGCTTACTGTACATTATCCCTCATAATAAATCTGTGTCGTTTCCTCATGCACCTCTTTCATCATCTACCAGATGTCAACAGTGGTCAATATAGTTACTACACTTCATTGTGAGCTTCAGCCCTCGACTTTTTCTCTATCTTCTCAATGACTTCTCATCAGCATGAAATTGCCACTTCTTCTAACTGTCTCTCTGTCTCTGAAGAGGCAAACAAAATGTACCTGCAGTGGAGAAGTGGTTCTAAGCATTACACACTTATGTATTCATGCCAACTGTCCTTTGAGATTTGAGGAACCACAGACCATGAGTTTTACAAATCATAATAAAACTAGTGGCTAACCATTATTGGCATCAAGGCACACCCTCAATGAATGTGCTCTCGTTTCACTAATCAGATAAATACACTGCCTACTGTATATGCCCATGTGTATCTTTAATAATCATCATCGTATTTTTCGGCACCATTCTCATCCCTTTATGTGTATATCCACCTCCTGCTCATCTCTAGTGCACTTTGACCTCCATTAGTGAGGAGATGAGGAGAGGTGGTCCTACTGCAAGCTAGAGCCTCATTATTTGGTTTTGCGTCAACGGCCGTTTGGATTTTCTTAGGCTGATTTCTGATTGTTCTCAATTGATGAGAGACATGTAATATAAAGATGCATTCTGATTTTGTTTTAATCATGTAAAATTGATTCATATCATATTTTATTTGCTGCTATTATAGTGTATTCTAACATGGTTCAGTTTAACCCTCAAGTAGGATAAATAATAAGCCACAACCATACTATCAACCAGTTTTCCTACTACAGACACTGCCAGCCATATCATAGCACAAAATAAAAACATTTTACGTGTTTTTTTGTATAATTGAAACGAAGAAATAGATCGCTAAAGCTTTTCTGGTCTTATTTCCCTCTACGTTTATTGTCATCGACCAAAATGCCTATTTTATTGCATTTTGGGAAAACGCAGTGGGCGTCCGCTTTGAAATTATCCTGTGTTGCATTGATGGTGTTTCTGGGTAAGTAAAAAAGCTTCTAATATGGACAAAAAAAAAATAAATAAAGCTCACCATTAAAATGACCATTCGACGCTTTAATTAATTTAAATGTACCAGTCAAACAGATATGTTAATCTAGCCATGTCTGTGCGTTAAAGGATGCTCATAGAATTAGGAATATATCATTACATCATAGCATTTGATAGTTGTTACAAATCATCTGTCAAATACATTGAGCAACACTGTTGCGATGTTTTTCACATCGCCATCAGCATTGACTGTTTTGATTGTGAAGCCGTTGTGAGCGCATTCAGCTTGACTATGGAAAATAAACAGGATATATGTCTTATTTTCATATTCATTGTCGCAAAAGAAACAGCACTTCTGGGTGTTTCAGACAAGCAGCTTTGATAAACATTGAGCAGTGCTACGGGTTTAATGATCTGTTTAACATTATAGCTACAATTAGGTCCGTGTCGTATTGTCGATATAGAGTCGATATGTAGTGTTTATATCACTCCGTTTATTTATTTTTTCAGTGACGCTTTCTTGAAGTTACATCGTTACACCAGTAAGTGGCAACAAATGAATGTGTTTATGAGCGAGTCATATAATCTTTCTCTCAAACGATTCCTTCAAAACGGTGACTCATTAAAAACAAAACACTACTATCTGCTGCTCTGAGACAAAAACAAAAAAACAAAACAAAAAAAAACATTCTGCTTCGTTTCGAACTATTTTCGTTGGTGGAACAAAACATAGTTGGAAATACTGTGAATAAAATGTAAGTTAATTGCCCCCTCCCATTGACTGTTTAGTAAAGATATTGATAAAAGAGAGACAAAAAAACCCCAATAAGATTTAATAATAATAATAATAATAATAATAATAATAATAATTTATAATATTATTAAGTATTAATTGTATTATTAATACTTTATAATAATACAATACTTTTGGGTGAGTAAAATTTGCCTCATGAAGTGAATCAATATTGAACAGAAGTTTCATGTTTATCATCTCACTTTGTAAACTCAGTAATAAAATTATATATATATATATATATATATATCAAGAAATGTCTGAACAAGCAAACAAGTCGTCGCCTTGGAATTATAAGCTTCTATCTGACATTTTTGTCAAACTTGAGTTATACAGATGTGATGTTCCTTTTGTAATTTGTGTAAATTTTGGGACTTTTTTTTTTAGAAAACAAAAAGGGTCCTATCTACAGAAGTCTATGGAATGCTAAAACTTTGAAGCTCAATATCTCAAAACTACTCAGAATGCAGATAACACCTTATAATTCGATGTAATTCAGTCATAACCAATATGCCTGTTCTGGTTATTTTGCAAATAGGTTTATTGCTACAGCTGTGGCTTCATAAAACCATTTCTGTTAAAGGTTGCATGAGGATTATGTATTTCAACAGAAGGCAGATTACCTACTTTCTTGTGCATAATCCACGTGGTATCATTTACAAATTATAATTCATTAATATTTTCTTAGCAAACTACTGTTAATTGTAGGCTTAACATAAAGGAAACACACCAGAAGAGTGTCACACAGCTGAATTTGGAAGTTTAATTCAAGTTCAGGTGCAAACAATGCAGTTTTTCTAAAAAGCCACTAGAGGGCGTAAAACCCAGTGTTTCGGTGACAGTAGGGACCGTGACCTACCATTTCTGTTAAAGGTTGCATGAGGATTATGTATTTCAACAGAAGGCAGATTACCTACTTTCTTGTGCATAATCCATGTGGTATCATTTACAAATTATAATTCATTAATATTTTCTTAGCAAACTACTGTTAATTGTAGGCTTAACAAAGGAAACACACCAGAAGAGTGTCACACAGCTGAATTTGGAAGTTTAATTCAAGTTCAGGTGCAAACAATGCAGTTTTTCTAAAAAGCCACTAGAGGGCGTAAAACCCAGTGTTTCGGTGACAGTAGGGACCGTGACCTGCAATTACAATTAAACCCCAGTTTCACTTATCTGTCTACCTCCAAAAATCCTCATACTTCTAATCTTAAATTATTTAATACATTTAGATGATATGGCCATATGTAAAAATCTAAAAGCTATTAGATATGTTCTATACATAGATGACAAATCTCCTTAAAAATGCACAGTTAATGTCTTCACATGCTTACATTTGATGTAGATTAATTAATTGATATATTTATTTAAAATAAATGCCACTTTCTTTTTTTCTTTTTCTTTTTTTTAACTATTGCAATAGCATTCAGAAATGTGGCTTAAGTGTTCAAATATGTTAAGAATTTTAATGCAAGTTTTTATCTCAAGAGAACTTGGCCTTAGTAACTTCCCTGGGTAAAATGATTTGCATATCAATACCACATTGAGGTATATAGATAAATACTATGGATTTTAGCAATATTTGTGCGGCATCCTATTCTCCAGGAGATTGAACTTAATAATACATTTCAATCAGCTTCCTGGAAAATACTGAATCATTCCACAAGCCCCAAAAGCTATTGAACTCAATTTCACTATTGAACCCACCTCCTCTTCTTCTTCAGTGTAAAGGTACACTACACTACAGTTTTTACTGTATTTTTTTCCCCTAATAATTCATCCTTGGTAAGCATAAGAGACTTCTTTAAAAAAAATATGAAAAAATTAAAACATATCCCCAAACTTTTGAATGGTACTGTAGTGTTTACACATTTAAAAGATAAAGGGTAGAAAATATAAACCACTATTTGGAGTAAATCTATTAAGGATACAAAATGTATTCACTCATTACATTATATCATATTGCATACAGTACATGGCACTACTGTATGTTCCATGTTTTGTTTATTACAATATTGTTATAGATTGTTAGTCTTATTTCAAAGGGATAGTTCACCCTCAAATTAAAATTCTGTCTGCATTTATTCACCATCATGTGACCTTCCCGAAAACTCTCCTCTGAATTCACAAACACTTCGTACACATCAGATTTGATAGTTAAACATGTGTATGTTAATGAATTCCAATCATTCGTAAATAGGGCGCTCGTGCACGCTCATTCACAATTAGCATAACCCCCGCCTACAGCTACGCAAATTGCGTGTCCAGGAACGCAGTGGAATATTCTGGTCAACTTTCTCAGGTTTGGCTCCAGTATATTGCATAAATGCAAAAAACACTAATAGGCCATATGCCTAACAATAAATATTCAATAACGTAAACCAAAGCGTTTTTAGCCAGCTGAAAAACTGTCAGGCGCTCTTCTTAAAACGGCCAGCTAGTGGTGCTGGAGAACGCTTCCCAGATAGCACACGTACGTCTGCAAGATGTCTGTTAAAGATCGCTCACTTGATTCATTCAAAAACAGATTCATTCTGGGACGAAACACTGAAGTGTTGCTCTGAGATGCACAAATGTTCTGCTCTGGCTTTGTTTGGAACTATTTCACATGCGGAACAGAAAAAAGAGACAATATTGTGTCTGAAATGTAACCCACTCAAGTAACTTCTTGTTTGTTGAACTTTATTAATATCACATTTTTCCATCCTCCCCATTACACAGCCTACCCAGATAGCACACATACGTCTGCAAAATGTCTATTTAAGATCACTTCATCTGGAAAGACTCTGCTGTGTCCAAACATCTGACAGACATCTTTAAGATGTCAGTTTAGCATACATTCTAAATCATAAACATCTTAAAGACATCTAATAGATGTCTATTTGACATCTAAAATTAAATGTCCTATAGACATACTGCAGATGAGCAAGCACTCTAAAAATTACGTCTTCCAGATGTAAATGCAGACGTCAAATAGACGTCTCCGTGATGTACGTGTGCTATCAGGGTTTGGTGGCACAGCGTTTTTCTAGCTGAGAGATGCTTGCTATGATTTGAAATATCCACGACAGTAACGTATTACTAGTATCTCATTTTGAAGAATATTACTGAATATAAAAATGCAGTAACCCGCAATATTAACTTCTCTATTGTTGTTCAGTTGTTGTACAAGTAGGGTGATTGGTCGGTGTAGTATTTGTCCCGCCCCTCCTCCATTGATTGGACGGCTGGGTAAAAAGTGACAGTGACAAGCTATCAACTCTCAGCTACAAGAAAAAAGAAAAAAAAAAAAAAAACGGAGCAAACGAACTTGTAAAATATTATAATGGCAGTGCATCAAATTCAGTGTCATCAGACTGCCAAAATGAACACAGAAGAACGTTTTACGCACCATTTACACGTGATAGGAAGCAGGTGTAAATTTCTTTCTTACCAACTAACATTTTGAAAATACGAACATTTTCATGAATTCGAAAGTTTACGTCAGAACGGCTTTAATAGATAAAATCCAACTGCAGTAGCACAGTTGGCTGTAAGCCGAGTGTGAAATATGGTAGACTATGAGGAAATGATAGCTGTTAATATCTGCTTCTAACTGAAATACAGATGCATGGATTGACACAGAAAGTTTTGCCCACAGTATTTTATTCATTAGGTAGAAACACACTAAATGTGGTGTACTGAAACCATCTAAGCAGATCTGTTGTGGTTACATCAATTTTAACAACCTTATTCTGTTCACTTTTGAAATTAAAGAGATGATTTCAGTAATTAGGAAAAATCACATGAATATGAGTGAGAAGTGAAATGAACAGTGAAACTGTAGACTGCCCCACATAGGCCTACTGTAGTATAATCCTAATATTGTATTCCAAACCTTATCTCATGACAAAAACGTACTTGTGGGAACTTTTTCGCAAAACACAAAATACGTACCAATAAGTACATATCACTGCAGTTTCCAACAGAAATGAACACTAGAGGCGCTAAAACAGCGAGCACATTTTCATACACATTTATGATTACAGCTCATTAGCTCAGCCGGCACGGAATTGGAGCAACTTTACAGATCTTTTTTATGCACCAAGAGCTTGTAACACTCCAAAGAGAAAGGAAAAATTGAAATCACATCATATGACCCCTTTAAGATGCGGAATCCTTGGGTATGAATCCTGTGAAAAAAACATGACCTACGATGA